TTTTTTTTTGTTTTCATAATATATTTTTTTTTTTGGAAATTTAATTTTTTTTTTTTTTTTTTTTTTTTTTTTTTTTTTTTTTTTTTTTTTTTTTTTTTATGAAATGAAAGCCATAACCATCAAGGTTAGCAGAAATAAACACTTTATACCAGGAAGACCTAATAGACGTCATAGAATAATTCAACATGGCTTAATTTTGGTGATAATTATGCACTTTATCACAAATCCAGATTTACAAAATGATTATTATTGTGGTATAGACTAAGGCGGATTTTTCATATTCTGAAGAGGTACTGCGTAATTCTCCAGTTGCAGGGCAAGATGACTGCGCGTTTTAATAGATGCGGAAAACATGTTGAAATTTTAGCACAACATATAGGCGTTGTATTTAGCCTGTAATGGCTACATACAAATTGTTAAAGCTATAAGTGATGCAGCGTGCTTCCATTAGGCTTTGCTTCATTTTTCCTACGTAGCTGTGCTCAAGGTGGACATGTGAACTGCCACTCACTCGTCGTGTCCTTTGCACAAAAAGAACAGCAGCCTCCATGCCTGCACTGCGGATAGGATGAGGGATGCAATCCCGATAAAAGTGATGAAGCTGCAGGAGCACTCGGGTCCCCACTCCTCCACGATGAAACGCTGCTTCGACACGGTGATGTTCTCGTTTTGCCACATTCCGCGGGTGAACAGCAGACATTTCCCCCCGAAGTCCTCCGAGTTCTCCGACAGCGGCACCACGGCGATGAAGCCGAACACGAAGGCCAGAAAGTAGAGGATGCACTGCGCGAAGATCAGATTGTCGAGGGCCATTTTCCCGTCTGACGCCTCTGCCTGCTGGCCGCCGGAGAAAGTGCGGCTGCGCAGTGGAAGCAGAGACGAGCGGAGGCGCAGCATCCGAGGACGAACTGTGCAGCAAATTAATGAGTGGGCAGAGGCCTTCGGGGCTCTCCATCTGCATCCAGACCTTATGCGATGAACCGCTCCACTACTGCTGCGGTCTTAAACTGCTGAGAAGGATTTAATAGCTGCCACGTTTTAGAGCGCAGCTACTACAGTTGGAGTGGATTTGACCAAAACTGGTTTGCACGGTTCCTTGCGGTGTCTATGTTGGATTAAACACACTGTAGTTTTTATAATAATAATAATAATAATAATAATAATAATAATAATAATAAGTGTATTTTATTTTAATATCTCCCAAAAGAAGTTACAAACTGCATTTTGATAAAAATATCATAGAAATAAAGAAGAGTAATAAGCTAAACATTAAAACCAAACAGTTTTTGGGACACATCTGGTGCTCCATACTACATTTTTTCTAGCATAAAGATTCCTTCTACTTATCTTCTGTTCTTTAAGAACTTCGAGTATTTGAAAGAAATCTGATTTTAGTTTTAGCTTTTCATTGGAAAGACCTTGTTGAGTTCTGTTTTCCAGTGTACATCTTTATTTTGCCTTCTATCATTTAGTATCCAGTTTTCGTCTTCAACAATCAACACTTTTTTCTTGAATGTTGCCCTTCCTCTGACCCCATTATGCGGTCCCAGGAAGTACTCCAAGTATGATAATATTAATAATATATGAAAAATAATTTTAGCATTAAACAATATTTTTATTTAAACAATTTGAACAAACGATGACATTTTTATTATGGATACCAACACATATCATCATCTGCAGTGAAATGTTTTAACTACAATGGATACAAATAGACAATTATCAAGTAAAAAATAAAAATAAAATTATAATAAAAAAAACATGTTTTTCAAAATACTAGGTTTCACTTCGAGTCCTTCTAATAATATGAGATGCAACATAAACTGATAGCCTACATTTTGCTATGCATGCTCAAAAATAAGAGTAATGGTTTGTTTATACATGGTGACAGTCTTAAGGGAAGGGCAGGTAGCGGCCTGTCACAGCCATCTGACATGCTCCAATGAGCCCATCTGCTGAGCAGAGCAAGGTGTCTCTGTCCCTTTGGTGGGACGTTGCCTTCTCACAGCGCCCTCCAGTGGGCAAAAATCCCAGCTTCTAGTCTGCAGAGACATGTTATGATCACCAGCTTTAATTGTAAATCCTTTTGTTGCAGAATGTCAAAACATGCAACTAAATAAGTTATTTTTCTTGTTGTTTTTTTTTTTTAACTTAAAAAGTACAGGGAGTTATTTTAATGAATATGTCATTGATGTGAACCTGTAGCTTTTTCATCATCAGGGATGTCATGAAGTCTTTTTAAACCAGGATCCATTACTATCATTTACTATCATGTAGTTTTCCTTGGAATATTCAATACAACATAAAGACAAGTATTTATATGTGTGCTTTTGAGATAACAGGAGGCTATTTGTATCCATCATACTAACTGCAGTATTTCCGTGGTGTGTGATTTAGGCCTTGTCATTTTGCTGCAGCTCTGCACTCTGATTTTCATGATCTTATCAGCTCACAGATTAGCTTGAGTTATGTTTGTGTGTGAGAGGCTTAGGCTTTGAAGTCGATGTGATTCCAAAGAACTGAGACGGTTTTATGTTGCGGTCATACCATTTTAAAAGGCTTCTGAAATGTATATAACAGAAAATTGTGGGATGGAGATTTTCTTTTACAGTTTAATTTAAAAAAAATAATAACAAAAAAATGTACACCAATACTATGCACTGTACAGGCCCCATACAAAATTAATCTTTCAGATGCAGAAGCTACCCCCCCAAAAAAAAAAAAAATCTTTTAATGGATTCCCTGGACTTTAGATTTAGATTTTATCTGTTTTATCTTTTTAATTGTGTAATAGTATCGCTAATTTAGAAAGAGAAGGATTCATCCTATTTTTAAAAAAGAAAATTTCAATCCATCTGAGAAGCAGATGAATTGTTTCTCAACACAAAATGAACTAAATGTAGTCGAGCTGATGTCCTCCCTGATTAGACCTTGGACAACCTCTGGTATCAGAAGTGCTGCAACGACTGCAAGGTCAAAGTCTTAAATTTAAAAAAAAAGCATGAAGAGGAAATTACTTGAGCAGAATTCCAAAGCCCATTTTTAAATAATACAGCATGTGTGGGCTCATGAACTGGGCGCCCAGGGGAGATCCGCAGGAGAAGTGTGTCAACCTGAAATATGTGTTAAGTTATTCACTCACCCATACAAGAGAGGGATAAGGGGAGGGATGCGAACCCGAATGCATTCCCTGGACTCTGGGTAAATATAGCGGGGAATGGGCTGAAGAAAGCATTGGGAGGTCATCCATTTTTCATGAGATACTCTGGCTGCAAAGCAAACATCCCTTTTTTTTCCAAGCATGGGGGAAGCCAGCAAAGAATGTAAAGAATGGAATCACTACCAGTGATAACATCAGTGGATTTTTAATGTGGTGTATTTGTGTTTTTATCTGGAATAGCATGTATTCTTTTAATATTGAACAGGCAATAGTGAAAATATATATGTAATAATGTTTGTGACACTGTCAGATACAGCTCAGAGAAACATTCAAGAAAGTATGCACTGTATGTCCAATGTTCAGTTGATCGGTTGTGTTACAGAGTGTGACTTCATGATATATAAACGAGATTCATGTCTTCAAAAGACTCTTTTTTCATGCATTATTTTCATCATATTCTCTTCACTCGTTTGCCTTTCCTGGATTCTGTTCTTCCACTCATGACTCTTTGTTGTGGAGCCTTCCCTCTCCAACCTGCAAGCTCCTTTCCTTCTGCCTGTAACACAAAGCAGGAGTGAAAAACAGACACAATTACAGCCTCATATCCTGAGCAGTGATGTGAAGGGCTTAATGAAATATCCTGTACCCATTAATCTTTCCCCTTCAGGGGGTGCAGCAGAAAGGATGCACTGGGCCAACTACTGATTAAATGCTCCTAATAAAGGCCATTCATCTCACCTTAAACCATGAACAGTTTAACTTGTAGTAGCGGCCAGCACTACATTGCTGCATGTTTCTTTGAGCAAGCAGTGCAGTTTCAATCCAGATTTTGTATTTATTTATTTATTTATTTAATTTTGCCCTTTTACAATTACTAATTTAAATATCCTTCTTTTGGGTTTTCCAAACCAACAGAAATATTAGTTTCCACATTAGTTTACATATGTTTATAAAGGTCGCCTAATCTGTGCAGTCCACTTGCATGTTGATTAATCTCAGTACAAATACAGCTGTTTTGTGTAGTGCTTAGAGGTTTGTTAGACAACATTAGTAAACCCAGGGTCTCAACTACATATTATTCAGGTGGATGCAAACACATAAATACCATATTAATACAATATAGCTCATTCATCGAAATGCCTATGTATCTTTGGATAGACTGGTGAAACTGAACAAAAGTCAGACATTTCTGAACATGAAAGTAATATTTGGGATAAAGATGAGAAATCCCCTGTGGCTAGACACTTTAACACAGCTGGTCATCTTTAAAATGTCAAGAAAATTAAATGTCTGTTTCTAAAAGAAGGCATGACAGAAACAGACTTGTTACAAAGAGAAGGACTCTGGATTCACAATTTACAAGCAGTAAAACGGGGTTTGAGTAAGGAACTGGCGTAGAACCGTTATTTTTCTAATTGTATTGTCTCAAATGTATGCTTACCAATTGCTTTTTGACTTTATTTCCAGAGATGGTTTGCTGTTCTGTGAGTGTTACTAATTCCATTTTGACTCTCAGTGCTCTATTTCATCTTTAGGTTGATTGGCTGATCTGCTAATTTTATGCGTATGTATGCATGTGTGTGTACTTCGGTACATGCCACACGTTTAAAATTTTGTTTTACTTCAGCTTAAATTTTATGCATTTCTTTCAAACAAAATACTGAACAAAATATACTGAAGTTCTTAGATGACAAAATGTAAATTTCAAAATATTTTAGGTTAGGTTAATAATTTACAGTTTAATGAACTACAGCTTTGTGTGGACACACTTCTGGTCTCAATAATAATAACACAACATCCCTAATAATTTATTACCGAATCAACATAAAAATTGAGGTACACACATCTTAATGCATCACTGAGTCCTTTAGTCCTCTCAGTCAAAGAAAAAGCACAAATCCATATTAAACTAGCCAGATTGGACAGGACACACCTATTTTTATTTATTTATTTATTTTTTTGACAAATGTACAAAAGCAACAATGTGACCTGCACTTTTGTTTGAAGAATGACATCATTGTGGGAGGAAATCTTAAAAGCAGTGATGTTTATGCTGGAGGACAGAAGAACAAGGGATGAAGGGGAGTAAAGAGGACACCTGCTGGGCTGTGATGAAGAGAAATCCCAAGGGCCTAAAAATGAGATCATCCCAGCCACACCAAGTAGCTAACTGGAGCAACAGTGCCCCCTGAAGGCCGGATAATGTTTCACATCGTCGATGACAACGTCTTTGTATATGAAGAACTAAAAAAAATAATAATAATAATAAAGTACCTGTTTGTCATCTGTTTGCTTTGCAGAGAAATCAGTGAAGTTGGCCAGACTGTTGGTGGATGAGGGGCCAAGTAGACAGGAAGACATGGTGTTATCTGTGAGCAAGAAGAAGGAAAACTATAAATTGGGAAAGGTAGATGTTGAAGATATTGCTTTTATGCCAGCAAGCATTGTATGAGCATTAACGTTCCTTTTAAAAGAAACCATCACATAAGATGAACAATTGGGTAAGAAAAAAAAATATTCTCATCATTTTTAACCACAGTCTCATGTCTTTGAGCTTTGACTTAGCTATAAAGATGTGCATGAGTGAGGGACAAGACGCCCAGCTGTGATCAAAAGAGGTGCATCTGCAGAGCTGTAAGGTACTCCCCCCCCCACACACACACGCACACACGCCCACACACACACACACACACACACACATACACACACACACACACAGAATATGGGGTGGGGGAAATGCAGTAGAGAAATAGGGGTTGTTTAATGGATGAATGGCTGCCGCAGCAAGGTTAGGGAAACCAATCTCTCCC